TTGTGATTGTTGATCCATCCCCCTCGTTACCTGATTAGTGTTTGAGTTGTTCCACCTGTCCCCTCTTGATTTGTTCCCTTTTTAAGTCTCCTCTTGTATGCAGTCCTTGTCGGTTCGTTGTCATACGTCTTCCCAGTTCCTTGTTGATGTTCTTATGTTCAGAGTCCGTGTTGGGTTCATGTTCATTTATTGTGTTTTCCCCCTCGTGGGTTTTTGATTTGTGTTTATTCTGTTTTTGTTAATAAATCCTCCTTGTTTTTGCACTTGAGTTCTCTTCCCATTTTTGTAAGTGTTCCACAACTTCAGGTCGACATTGCACTGGGGCCATTTTATTATTACAGACTTATTTTCAATATTGTACATGAAACAGAGATCCATATTAGTTATCCAGATACATTCGCTTGATGTTGACAAGTGTAAATGCAGCGTGTCCTGAGTGACCGATAATGCTTTATCAGATCATTGGCGCTCTAGTCAGTGGAAACAGGAACAGGTTCTGAAAGGGTTCGCAAGTTGAACCAACTCCTAACCAACTTTGAACCAGCACCAGTTCCGAACCAGTTCTTTTTTGGTGGAAAAGGAACAGATAGTCTTGAAATCTAGACGCACCCTATCGGCAGCAAAAATTATTTCGCAGTCAGTGTGGTCTAGCAACTCTCCATAGACGTTTTAGCTGGAAAAACCAAACTCTGGTCAGGCCAATCACATCGTAAATAGAGTCGGTGGGCGGGCTTAACATAATGACGACAGAGTTGCGACGGTTCACTGGTACTTGATAACAAAGAATGGCTGCTGCTGGCGAACAGCTGTCTTTCGATTCGGCTTTTGACCGCTACTCTGGATGATTTGAACTTAAGCTTTTCTTTGAAACCAGAAAAAAGAACGGCTCTTGAGTCATTTAAAAAAAAAATTGTAAAAGAGTTGTGCCTACTGGATACGCTCTGACTACATCACCTTCTTCGTTGCTTTGATTGGTTGTAGCCAGGGCCTGAAATTAACACCCGACCACCTGCCAAATGCGGGTGAATTTTGCTATTGGCGGGTAACACTGTCAATCTACCTGCCACATTGGCAGGCAGCCAATGAGAATTGAGTGATTCATTAGGATTTTTACATTTCAACGAAGTCCGCTATTGCGGTGGACTTTAGCTAAAATGTGGCGGCACATTACTGGGGTAAAGAGGCCAGCTGAAACAAAACAAACAGCCAACAAAAAGATGAGGATGAGAAAAAGAAAAGTAAAGAAGACATTTTAATACAAAGTGAACAATCGGCGGCAATGGCAAGGTTCGTGAGCGGCTGATTTATGACAGCGACTGTTGTTTCGTAACGTTCATGCGATCAGAAAGAAGATGAGGCTCTTTTTCTGACTACGTGTGCGAGTATTAAACTGTTGGTGAGATGGGATGAGATAATGTAACGCGTCGCTGTTGTAGGTTAAAGTACAATGACAGCTGCACAGATGTGTGTGTGCATGTTGGGAGTTGGGAACCGGTGAGAAAATGTCCGGTACCCGGTAATTTTATCAGTAATAACAGTATTTAGTTGATATTTAACCGTTCCTGAACGATGTAACTAAAAGCTGTTAAGAGTAAGACCTGTACGTGACTAAATCCGCCATCAACACAGCCGCGTGTGATTTGTTTACGAGCTGCGGTAGGTCTATCTGTTGAGTACTATATGTTGTGTGTGTGTGTGTGTGTGTCTGTCAAAATCAATGAATAAAAAGATTTTTTTTTTAAATGTATGTTATTAGAGTTATTATTACTTGACAGCACTTAAATGTGTGTTCTTACAAGTTAAAGAACAATATTGTGAAATTCCCGGGTTTTTTTTTTTTTTTTTTTTTTACGTTTATGAGGCAAAAAAAAAATGGCTGGTAAAAAGTCTCTGTGGCAGGTGAATTTTTAAATCCACCTGCCACAGTGGCCGGTGGCCGAAAAAATTAACTTCAGGCCCTGGTTGTAGCACTATCCAATTGCGTGTAGAGAGAATTTGAAAAACAACCATTTATCCCGCCCTGATTGAGCCCTGTCAATGATGAGTTCCTGGCTAGGTAACAGAGGGAATCAGAACATCACCCAGATGGAAGGTCCCCTAAATGAAGAGTTTAGGATTAGCAGCTAAAATAAATGAAACACTAAAGAGGGCCACTGAGATCACAGGGCCAGCTGTGTTGTGAGCAGTTCAACCATTGCAAATTAAACATTTTAAAAAAACTGTCCCTGCTGGAACAATGAAGCAAACCACGACAGCCCACAGAGAAAGGACAAAAGCCATAGCCTCGAGTGTCAAGCTCAAACACACGATATCCACAGCCACTACTTGAAACTCAGCCAGGAAGAAACACCAACAAAAGCAAACGTCACGCTTGAATCCAAGAGTCCATTTTAAAGGAGAAAGTATATGTTTTGGATATGCAATTGTGTAGTTTTTTTATTTCCACTTTTATAATATATTTTTTTATAATGAATTGTCTCATAGTATGCTGTGATGTCACATACAAAACTTCTAAAGCCAAAAAAATAAATAAATCTATAAACAATATAGACATGACCATTTTTCTTCGGTTGCAATTGAGATTAATTATATTATTTCAGTCAATACTGTATGACATTTTCTTCTCACAGTATTTGATGTACTTGCAAAAACATTCATTTCAGATATTATGAAAAAAAGAAACAAATGGGTACCATTTTTTTAATGTAACAGGTTCACTATCAGGCTGCAGGCTGCCATAAACAGACGGTGTGATACAAGATTGATTAGTGGGATGATCTTCTCCAGTTATTTGTCAGAACTGGAAACAGAGACACTATTTTATACACAAATGTAGCCCATCCCTCCCACACAGTGAGAGGAAAGGTGGAAGGAGGTGAGATCTAGGACGCAGAATGTGTGGTCTGAGCATTCAAAGCAAATGAAATGTACCAGAATCAAAGTGTAACGGCACTTAGTTTATGAAAGATAAGACCCAGTATGTGTTTAAAGTAACTTGTAGACATCCCCTAAATCTCTTTGAGTAAACAATGATGTTCAATGTAACAGAGCTGTAGAGCTTTTTATTAGACAGGGATTTTTATGTGAGTACGTAGTGCTTTCTCCTTCAGCTAAAGGGTCCAGAATTTACTTTTTTAATGGATGTGAATTAAGAAAAGTAACTGACTATATATTTCTTAATAGCCATAAAACTATTCTGCATTATTTTAATATGCTACATTGTGTTATTCTTCTAATAACAGAAATATTCACCTTTTGACATTTGAGAACGGATCAAAGTATTGCAAATTAAACCATGTATAAAGTTAACCAACTGTCCAGCAGTCAAATGTACATGGCCAAAGTCATTTTTACCAACACTTGGAGATTAAAAAAACGGGGCCACTGGATGCTGGTCCTGACTCCTGAATAGAAGTGAAAAAAGCTATACCCAGTAAAAAATTATTGTGATTATAAAAGACTGTAAAAATGCTACAGTGAAAAACTGTTAATTGGTTAACAGAAACTTTTCTTACTATATACGGTAAATAACTATAATAGATCTAATGGTAAATTTCATGTAATTTTACTGTAAAATACCGTCAAATTTACAGTTTTTGAAAATGAACAACTCGTTGTATAATTTACAGAGAAAAAAGTAAAATTCCCTGCGTGACCCTTCGCATTTGATGTATTTTTTGTTGAAATAACTTTTTTCTTCATATTTGCTTAGTCTTTTTCTAATCAGTTATGTACATTACGGTTTTATGTGACATTTAATGTTGTTAAATTAATGTTTATTGCCTTACCATGATGCTGTTTAATGTTTGACTGAATGACACTGCACAGCTTCTATAATAATATTAAGTTTCTTGTGGAAGAGCTGCTTTAAACATAATTTCTCCCCTCACACATGAACAATATGGAATAACCAATATGTATTATCTAAAAGGAAAAGTATACATATAAAAGAGAATGGTTTGATAAAGGAATTATCTTTATTTCTGATTTATTAAACTGTAATGGTGAGATCTATAGCTATCAACAATTTCTTGCTCTCTCAGGGATTAAATCATGTAGATATACCGTATGATTGTTAAAAACATTTCCATTAAATTACTTCATCTTGTGAAAGCGCATCTCAGTTACAACTCAGTGTTGCAGAAGATTCCGAAACTTGTTATTGGGTGTTAATATTTTTGGATATGAAGTGTAATAATTCTTATATCTTGAAGTGTCTTAATCGAGATATTGCTACCGTATAGCAATTCTGAAATGGAAACAGTTCTTATCTCCTCTTCTGAGACAATCTGGTCTGCAAATAATACATTTTTACTGCTAAACAAGGTCAAAAAAACTAATTTCAAAATACTACACAGGTATTATCATCCCTGTTATGCATTTCTTAATAAGTTTAAAATAAGACTTCTCTCCATGTTGTTTTGTAATCTTGACTCTGAAACTCTCATACAGATATAATTGATAACATTTTAAAGTTAATAATTCTTCTTGGGAAATTTCATATACATAAAGCTAAAGTAATGTCTATAACACCCTCCTTTAATTTCTTTTGTAAAGATGTTAAAATATTCAATGACTCTTTAAATTCAATCACTAGAAATAAGAATGTGCATAAAAAAAACATCTCAAATTTTGAAAAAAAAAAAAATTAGAATTAGAAAATTAGAATTTAATGTTTTACTCTGTACAATGTAATATATGTTATGTGCTTTTCCCAATCCCAATATGTGTTTGCCTTATGTTTGATGTAAAATGTTATTGTAAGCTTTTATGAAAGTTGAATAAAAAAATTAAAAATAGGCTAGCCTAATAATAACTCTTAAGAAGAGTTATTAGAATCATTCTCAAGCAGATGCATTGCTCACTTTGAAAAGAGAAGAAATCTATGAAAAGTCTTGGGAAAATTATTTTTTCAGAATAAAGTGAGGAATTATTAGGCTACAGTAAAAAAAAAAGTGAACGCGATCTGTGACGTGATGACGTTGGTAATATCGCGAGATAACACGGGATGAATATGGCTGCAGTGAAACTACAGAAGAGTGTTGTGAGTCAGACTGGAAAACACACTGCTTCTGTTATATTTCTTCATGGCTCAGGTGATTTGAAGAGTTATTAAAATCGTTCTCATGCAGATGCATTGTGCTCACACCTTTGATAAGAGAAGTTTTATTACCCGGAGTAGCGCACTGAGCTGACAGCTGAATGAGACGCAAGAGACGCGGTTTAACTGGATCAAATGTTGTTAAAACGCACCGATTGATGTGAAACTTCGTCTGACTTGTTCAGAGACAAGCAATTAAAATAATGAGTGCAGACAGAGCGCAATAATTGAATGAGCTATCTCTCTTTTGCATATAGGTGACAGTTAGCCTCTGAAATCCCTCTGTTCACCCTCACATCATGTGTGTATCAATCTAACCAGAGTACTTGACATTTTAAACCACATAAAGTGCAAAGGATCATAACAAGACTTTTATTTAGGCATACTCAAGACAATAGTTGTAGTTTTACTGAGTATTTACAGTTAAACGTCTACCTGAATCTTACTGGTTGTCCTATTTAAAGTGTCACTGAACGTGAAAAAAAATGGCATAAAAAAAGGATAAATAGTTTTTCTTGCTGTATTTTTAATGCAAAAAAAAGCATTCATATGCAGAGTATGAAAAACATCAAATGCATAAAGAAAAACATTCTTGAGCAAATAAACTTAATAAGAACTGATTAAAAGAAGTGAAACATCTGCACTGTTTTCACAGTAATTTCAGGTCTGGCTGATCTGAGACACCTTTTTATAGTCTTTTTATACTCCATTGCACCTTTTTAATACTTTTTATAGTGCCTACTCTGGGTTGCTTTACAAAGGTTTCATTATTATTGTTAATTATTAGCTCTACCTTTTATATTGGTCAGAAAATCATTTTTTTTTTCATTCAATCACAGTCTCACGAATTGTCTAATTATAACCAATATTGTAAACACGATAAATAAAAGATCCTCTGTGAGTTCAATAAAGTAACGACAGCTTGTTATGGAAGCGCTCTCTGCTTGCTTTCTGTTTATAACACATTTACATTAAGAATAAAGTTTTGTTTTTCATCCTGCTAAGAAGACCATCAACCACATAGACATTGCAAAGTTTCGGGAGTGTCAACTGCATTAAATGATGCAAAAATAAAGTTATTTTGTTTTTAACTTTTGATAGTGTGTGCATTTGATAGTGTGCGTGAACACAGATGCTCGACACACAGATTTACATTGAAGGGAACTTCACATCTAGAGACTCGTGTGGGATCTTTAGACTTGGGCCACAAAGCCTCTGAATTGGGACGCAGTTTATAATACGCATTGCAACTCAGAACACCTTAACAGCCATATACCTATTCACTGTGCAACTGATATTTTCTTGTAGATATGTATTCTTGCAAATATTGTGTTTATACTGTTTGAATGTGTTTAAACGCAAGCTTAGTTTAGACACAATTGAGTAATTTAATCCATGAGGCTGCGTAATAATTTTGTTCCCTTTTATTTAGGAGACACAGGGCCAGGTTTGCTCAGCTGGGTTGCTGATATTTTGGGACAAAACCTGGCATTTGAAAACATCCGAGTGATTTATCCCACAGCGCCATCCAGGTAAACACCCTGAACATTATAATTCATCAAGTGCCCACCAAGCTAAGAACTCAAACAATTATATAAAAAGCATTGCTGAATTCATTGTTTACTAACCTACTACTTAACCATAGTATTAAAAATTATACATATACATATATATACACACAGTATAAGTGAATATATATAGTGAAATATAATATAGTGAATATATATATATATATATATATATATAAATAGTGAAAGTGAAATATATATATATATATATATATATATAGTGAAAGTGAAATTTCTGAAATAAAAACCTTTATAGAAACAATTTTAAAACTTAACTCTTTCCCCACCTGTGTTTTATTTTTAAGTTGCCAGCCAGCACCAGCATTTTTGGACTTTTTAAACAAAAATCTGAGAAAAACTTGTTTTTGTCAAAGACTCTTTTCTTGGCAATTCTAGGATGTCAATAATAGGGGGACTCAGCCCCCAATAAGGGTATGATTGTATTATACAATAATATTTAATTATATAATAATTTGTTTGTATACTAGATTGAACAATACAGTAGGTTCTACTATTTATCAAGTCAATCCCTGAACATTAAAATTATTTCTAATAATTTTAAAATATCCAGCATATTCATTAAGAATATAGACAAATAATTTTATTAAATAATAAAATAAAAATATTATATATACAGTAAAAAACTTTAGTGCTGGGCAACGATTAATCACAATTAAATAAAAGTTTGCGTTTACATAATAAATGAGTGTGCACTTTGTACAATTATTTTGTATATAAAATATAAATAACACACATGCATGTATGTATATATTTAAGAAATACACATGCATGTGTGTTTATATATATATATATATATATATATATATTATAAAATAATTATACACAGTACACACACATATGTAAGCACAAACTTTTATTTTGGATGTGATTAATCGTAATGTAATGTTTTAAACACTATTTTTAACTCTACATTTGTGCGGTACAATTAACTTTGAACTTTCGTGGAGGATTTCTGTCATCTGGAGGAAAACAAAACAAACACTTATAACGTGAAAATGACATGAAATTAGCACTATGACCAGTAGATGGCTGCAGAGGAACGCTCATTTGCCATTTCCACTCTCTTTTACAGGTCTTTTCGCGCGTTTTGCTTTTGTATTTAGTATAAAAATTAGTATTATAACAAATTTCAACAAAAATACATCAAATGCGAAGTGTCACGCAGGGAATGTCAATCACTCAAGTGTGAAGTGTAGCAAGAGTAGGAAAATTCACAAAGTCTAATTCCATTTAGATGAAAGCAATTTATTTTACACTGGATGGGGAACCGTCTTGAATGGCTCCTGCATCATATTATGTAAACTGCATTTATGACAAAGAACTACACAGATGCAGATATCATAACAATCTATCAATAAATGCACACACATCATCCTCTGCTTCTGACGCTGATAAATTGAGGAACACGCTGACACACCTCAGTGATTCTTGGGAATTTGGATAAAACAGGTTTTAATTTTGAAAATAAAAAGTTAGTTAAATTACAAAATCTGAAGGTATATCATTATAAAGCAAGGTCTTGGCTGTTCAGCAATGCACCGGTGCAACCTCCTCATTTTGTATTTTTTTCATAAAATAGGCGTTTCTCCAGTTATCACTTTGTTTTTGTCAACACCGTCAGACAAAATAAATAGCAAATTATTTTTTATTTGTTTGGTCTAATATGTATTCAGAGTTTTTAAATCATTATCTGGCATTCTTGGTACACATATATGCTGTTAAATGTTGAATATTCACTTTTGTTCATTTTTTATACTGTTTTGCGTGTACTCCTTTAAAAGATATAACATCATACAACATTTACTTTAAGCCTAAATAGAAAAATTAATGTTGTTTTATTTAACAAACATATTTTTGTATTAAAAGAGACTATTACTTTAATAACTCAACAGCACTGAAGAATCATATTTCAAGTATATTCATTTAAAACCAATAAAACTCCCTCTGACGGTGGTGACTTTAGAACTGACGGTGGTGACATTAATCTGACGGTGGTGACTGTGGCCTCTTTACAACATACAATTCCACAATGTATACCACTCAAGTCAATCAATTCTTGCTTAACAACTTCATTTAACTCTTTGGTCCAAAAAATAACAATCTTGAGCACTGTGATAAACATTTTTTTCCTTTTATGAGGTATTCCTCATTTAACTCTGCCTCACTGTGTATTTTCTCTCTCAGCTTTTTTTGGTATTCCCTGTTTCTTCTCCTTCTCTCCTCTACAGATAGCTGCTGCCTAGCCATAACTTTCGAAAATACATAAAGTCAAAGTTGAGTGTAATGACTATGAAATTGGGGGTAATTACAGCGAATGTTAGATTTGTTTAAATGATGTCATGCCATTTTCATTTGGCTTTAGTCATTGGAGATGCATAGCCTGGAATGGATAGTGCATACTATGTGCTGTGTAGGTAGGCTCTGCACTATGTGCATCCATAGTTCTGGTTAGTTCTGGCAGGTCACGTTATTCAAGCTCGCATCAGCCGACTATTAGCTGATCCACCTCCCCCTATAGGAATATGACGCCTATCACTGTACACATATATAAGCTCCTTCAGTATTATCAGCAGCTATCACGTTTATCAGGAGCTCATTGCCCTCCTCCCTCCCCAGCTCCACTCGTCAGTCAGGACTTGACATTCTGATTCCCCAAGAATCTGAATAAATTCTCGAATTATATTGTACTTTAAATTTTGAAATAATCTGCAAAACATTCATGTTGGTTCTGTTCTGTTTACCCCAAGGGGGTTATTGCTGCTCCTATCCATGCTAGGCTTTAACAAATTTTTAGTGTGGGCAAAAATCTAAATGAACGTCATGAAACACAATTTAATCGCATCAAACGTGTTCAGATTAGAACTGCTGTATTCCTGCAGCTGAACCACAGCCGTGAGGATATTAGGAAACATCCTCACTCTCACTCGCGCTAACAGTAGCATGCAGTGTAAGCCTGAATGGAAGAAATATAGGGGGAATTAAATAAATAAAAATATTAAAGAGGTGAATGGAATATTACAGGATAATATATTGGTATTTATTGTGATCAACAATTATATTCTAGCCTCTGTTATAGACCATTTGGGGGGTTTTGTCACCACCGTCACACGGTATGTCACCACCGTCAGATAGAAAACCTGACGGTGGTGACGTCTGACGGTGGTGACAAAACCTACTCTTTCACATGATATGCATGAGTTGTTCACATTATAGCCATCTTGTTTCCCCTCTGTTGCTAGCTACTTCAGACCTCTTCTTAAAAAGTATACACTTATGTCATAATCTAATCTAATATTTTCTATACAAAAGAGACGGTGTTGACATGTTATGGTTGTGACAGTAGCAGTGCCCAAATATATGAACAAGTTTAAGAGAAAATAGCAAAATTACGGGAGCTTGAGTGATCTTGAAGCATGCTGTAAAGCTGAAGGTTTGAAAATGGGGTATGGAGGAATGTAGTTGACCTTGTAGTTGCCTGATTTTATTACTTTTTATAAATATCTGACGGTGGTGACGAATATGTGGGACACATTTTGAACAACCACAAAATAATAGTAAATATTGTTCAAAACTCACTGTTTGTAGTTTTTAATACATATTGCAATGTACTCTTTTGTGTGGTAAATATATTATTCAATTCAATTATTCCTTTTTGTTTTTTTAATAAAGTTGAAATGATTATCTCCTATCCGAGGACAGCTGATTTTGTAGGCAATGGGCCAGCATATAATCATTAAAATAATAAAAATGAAAAATAAACCTATAAAAGAACCTTACATATGTGCAAAGGACCCCCTGATTATAAACTTGATTCTTTTCATTCATGAAAATGTTATTAATTTCCAACAGAATTAGCACTTTTTTTAGTGGGACATGTTTTTGCCAAAGTTTCAAGAATCAGTGACCTAATTACGGGGAGGAGGCTCCCGCCGTTTTCAAGGGTACTACTGAGGCGGTCACAAGTTAATCTCAGATATTTAGGCGGCTGGGAGGAAATTTAGGGGGGATAAACCCTCCTAAAATGGGAATGCCTGATTTTCGCTTGTTTTTGAATATGAAGATGTTTAATAGCGCCCCCTACCAGTGAAAACTGTATTGCCGGGAAAACTCAGCTGTCATACATGACGGAAAATCTCGTCAATAGTGGGGAAAGAGTTAAATGAAGATAAGATACAAATTTTTGAACCGTAAAGCTGAAATTCACTTAATTCCAAACATTTTACAAAGGATTCTCCACAATGCAGTAATTAACATAATGAACTTATCTAGCGTTGTTTTATTTCAACTATTACTTAATTGATTGTTTTTAGGCCGTACACCCCCATGCGAGGGGCTCTGTCTCACGTGTGGTTCGATCGTCACAAGATTTCCCAGGATTGCCCTGAACACTTGGAGTCTATAGATTCCATGTGCGATCATTTAGGCGCCATTGTCCAAGATGAGATCCGGGCCGGGATACCTAAACACAGGATGGTTATTGGTATGGCTCCTGGCTTATCTCTCCCGTGTCCTCTCTCTCTTCTCTGCATCCATCTATCTCTCCCTGCCTTATTGCTTTCTCTGTCTTACACACTCTCACACTCCACTTGTTCCAAATTAAGCAGAGTCTCAGACCACTGCTCATAAGTCTCTCCCTCGTTGTGTAAAATGAAGAATGAAACTTATCAAGTTTCTTATTCCTTTCATTTGTTGCCAGAATGGGCCAAAAAGAATTTCTGGATGAATCTCAGGTTTCTGCTAAGCTTTATCTCTAAATATTTGGGTTATGGGGTTCACAGATATATCACAATGAGATAAAAGTGGCAGAAAATCATTCAGTTAAAAGAGATTGTAGCAGAACCCAGGCTGGACAGAAAATAATGGAAGTTACGTTTTGCTCGGAGAGTTAAACCCGATGGCGACAGCCAAGAAAGGGTTAACCGACAAGCCAATAACACATAAATACCTTAAAATAGTTGCGAATAAAATGTGAAAAGTGCAAGAAAAAAAAAGCAAAGTCTTTGTGTGAAAAGCCTTGTGTGGAAGGACAGAAAAGCCCCTGAACTCAGTTCCAAAGAAACTGATTCAAAAAACACATGTTCCTGTGAGACTGCTGAAATATTATCTTCCTAAATCATAACATTTTGTCATTAACTATAAATACTCATTGGAGTCACTCTGCACGCTGGAGAAACGAAGTGGTCTGTGCGCTGAGTCCACTTCCCAGGCTGACGGACTGACAAGCGCCAGAACTTTCCATGGAAAACGCTTTCATATATGGACTGTGTGTTTCAATCTTTTAGGTGTCGTGGTTAATGGGAAAAGCCCAAGTCAAACATGCATGCGCAGATTAGTTTTAGCCAAACAACTACAGTGTGTGGATTTCTCGAGTTTGGTCTCTTTGATTAGATGAGGAGGATATGAGCGGATCTACGAGAACATGTGAACTCCATCTATCCGCTGTCTCAACATGACTCCCACAGACTGATGGGTACATGTTCACTTTCCCAGATTTGCCCAGATGTGTAAGATTAAGCACAGGCATGAAAGAAGAACAATTGAGTTTTGATGATGTGCAACTCAAGGCTTTTCTTTCTTTTTAAATATTTAATTCACGACGTACTGTTTTTTTTTTCTTCTAGATATTGGGCTACTGTGCACCACTTTAAACTACATACACTTATCAATGCCGTCATGACGCTCCAGAGTCATAACCAAAGGAACAGTTCACTCAGACATAAAACTTATGTCATAGATATGTGCACCAATAAGGTCATAATTGACAATAAATAGTGTATGCATGCCTGTATAATGCAATTGATCAATCACACACACTTAGAAAAAAAGGGTTCATTGGGGTTCTATACATGAAGCATAGGGTTTTTTACTCAACTCCAAAGAACCTTTTATGCTAAAAAGGGTTCTATAATGACAAGAAAGAACTCTTTTGGCACAAAGGTTCTTTATAGGCTATTATTCATTTATATATTAAATTATTCAAGTCAAGTCAAGTCACATTTATTTATATAGCGCTTTTCACAATACTGATTGTATCAAAGCAGCTTCACAGTGATAACATGAAAGTAGCACAACACAGATCGACAACATTGCTAAACACTAAATAACCCCAACTGAGCAAGCTCAAAGCAAGCCAAAAGCAAGGCGACAGTGGCAAGGAACCAAACTCCATCAGATTGGATGGAGAAAAAACCTTGGGAGAACCCAGGCTCAGTCGGGGGCCAGTTCTCCTCTCCTATTCTGCAACATTTTGTAGTTGTAAGTAAATTATTGTTTATTAAACTGTTGTAGTAACTTAATATCACATTTTAATCATGCAGATTTTTGGAGGAGAAAAACTGAAATGGCACTCTTCGTGTGATATAACTACATAAAATGATGTAAATATATACATTTTCCAACCCCCATATCTTTAATTGTGTGATCATTCACATGCATTCATAAATAGATTTTAGGGTCTTGATGTTTGTCAGTAATATGAAATATTTAATCAAAATAAAATATAATGAATGAACACAAATAGTTTCATATAAAACCTTTTTCCTGGTTACAAAGAACCCTAAAGGGTTCATATTATTGAACCCTTAAAAAGATTCTGTATAGAACCTTTTAGGGGTTCCAAATACTCAGCACTGATAGAACCTTTTAAGGTTCTAGATAGAAACGTTTCTTCTAAGAGTGCAGACACTGGGAAGTGAAAATAGTTAGAAAAACGTAATTTAAAACATATCATATCAAATTTGTAGTTTGATAAAACATGACTCATCAAAACCGATGTGTCTCCCAATGCCAAATTTCTCTACACGGAAAAGGTTTACAAACCATGCCTGCACGCTACTAGCAAAACCACCTGCGATTTGTCACTTGTTGTATGCCTTTCATTGAAAACAAGCTAAATGTGAACTCACGATAGCACACAAATGATACATTTACAAGTACAGTGATTCCTTTCCCATCTAAGAAGTTTAGTTCCATAATCCTAAATGAAATGTTAGGGTTTCACATTTCCATAGTCTTTCATTTTGAGACCCTGGCTCTGTTATATGAGACCAGGTAAATAGTTCCTTCTGGAAAAAAAGTACACTTTAGCATATTTTACTATGAGTACTTATTATGGAAATAATATACTTTGAAAGAATATACTTGAGTGTATGCACTGTTTTTTTTGCAATTAAATGAAAATTATGTATTTTAGTTTACATTTATATTACATGCAATTACCTGAACTTTAGTGTGCTTTTTTGATCCACTCAAATGTAATTTCATAAATATTTCTATTGTCTTTGAAATATGGTTAAAGTGCACTGCTGAATGTTTTAATGTAATTTCTATTGAAACTTGTGTGTTATGCATTTAAATGTATTTGTAACTAATTACACGTTTGTAATGATTTCAATGTGAAACATTTAAACTATGTTAACTTAAATGTAATATCGCGTTACGCATTACAGTTAAAATTATAGTCAAAGTATTTTACATGTGCTTTAGTATGTTAGTCAACACATCAAAATAAGTGTATGTTAAAATATGACAAAAGTTTATTGTGACAATGATTTAAAATTTGGTATTATTACAAAGTGCAGTGTAAAAGTATCCTAAAAGGGTTAGTTCACCCTCAATTATCCCATGATTTACTCATCCTCAAGCTGTCCTATGTGTACAGTGGGGACAAAAAAATATTTAGTCAGCCACTGATTGTGCAAGTTCTCCTACTTAGAACGATGAGAGAGGTCTGTAATTTTCCTCATAGGTACACTTTAACTATGTGAGACAAAATGAAAAAAAAATCCAGGAAATCACATTGTAGGATTTTAAAAGAATTTATTTGTAAATCATGGTGGAAAATAAGTATTTGGTCAATAACAAAAGTTCAACTCAATACTTTGTAACATGACCTTTGTTGGCAATGACAGAGGTCAAACGTTTCCTGTAAGTCTTCACTAGGTTTGCACACACTGTAGCTGGTATTTTGGTCCATTCCTCCATGCAGATCTCCTCGGATAATTCGGGGCTGTCGCTGGACAACACGGACTTTCAACTCCCTACACAAATTTTCAATGGGGTTGAGGTCTGGAGACTGGCTAGGTCACTCCAGGACCTTGAAATGCCTTATTACGGAGCCACTCCTTCGTTGCCCGGGCGGTGTGTTTGGGATCATTGTCATTCTGGAAGATCCAGCCACGTTTCATCTTCAAGGCTCTCACTGATAGAAGGAGGTTTTGGCTTTAAATCTCACGATTTATGGCCCCGTTCACTCTTCCCTCAACACGGATCAGTTTTCCTGTCCCCTTTGCAGAAAAACAGCCCCAAAGCATGATGTTTCCTCCCCCATGCTTCACAGTAGGTACGGTGTTCTTGGGATGCAACTCTGTATTATTCTTCCTCCAAACACGACGTGTTGAGTTTTTACCAAAAAGTTCTATTTTGGTTTCATCTGACCACATGAAATTCTCCCAATCCTCTTTTGGATCATCCATATGCTCTCTGGCAACCTTCAGACGGGCCTGGACGTGTACTGGCTTAAACAGGGGGACACTGCAGTATTAGAGTCCCTCTCGGTGTAGTGTGTTACTTATGGTAGCCTTTGTTACTTTGCTCCCAGCTCTCTGCAGGTCATTCATCAGATCCCTCCATGTAGTTCAGGGATTTTTGCTCACCGCTCTCATGATCATTTAGACCCCACGGGATGAGATCTTGCGTGGAGTCCCAGATCGAGGGAGATTATTAGTGGTCTTGTTTTTCTTCCATTTTCTTATAATTGCTCCCACAGTTGATTTTTTTCCCACACCAAGCTTCACTCTTCCCAACCTGGTGTAGGTCTACAATTTTCTTCCCTGTGTCCTTCGACAGCTCTTTGGTGTTGGCCGTGGTTGAGTTTGGAGTGTGACTGTTTGAGGCTGTGGACAGGTGTCTTTTATACAGATAACGGGTTCAAACAGGTGCCAATAATACAGGTAACGAGTGGAGGACAGAAGAGCTTCTTAAAGGAGAAGTTACAAGGCCTGTGAGAGCCAGAAATCTTGCTGGTTTGTGGGTGACCAAATACTTATTTTCCACCATAATTTACAAATAAATTCTTTAAAAATCCTACAATGTGATTTCCTGGATTTTTTTTTACTCATTTTGTCTCTCATAGTTGAAGTGTACCTATGATGAAAATTACAGACCTCTCTCATTATTCTAAGTAGGAGAACTTGCACAATCAGTGGCTGACTAAATACTTTTTGGCCCCAATGTATATGACTTTCTTCTTTCAGCCAAACACAATCAGAGATGTATTTATAAATGTCCTGGCTCTTCCAATTATAATTTGAGTGAATGGTATCTTCAATTTTGAAGCCCAAAAAACCTCATCTATCCATCATAAAAATAAAAGTAATCCATGTGGTTCCAGGGAGTTTATAAATGCCTTCTGAAGTGAAGCGATGCATTTTAGTAAGAAAAATATTCATATTTATAACTTTATAAACTATAATCCCTGCATTTCAGTAACGGCCATACATGAGCCTAGTTCCGGTGGAAGGGTGACCTCTCACCCGACACTTGATGTAGGAGTAGCATAAGCTCAGGTGAGAGTAGACGGCTCTCATTTACATTTGCATTTGGCAGACGTTTTTATCCAAAGTGACTTACATTGCATTTCAAGGTACACATTTACATTCTTATCAGTTCTTATCAGCCTCTCGCGGTTCAAACAAATTGAGTTGGACAACAAACTCAAGCTCCTCTGACATTTTACTTTAAAATTCTAGTTTTAGACTTCTAATTTGTGACCGGTGTTTTGTTTTTGCTCTATCCTCTGCAGTTCCGCGTTCATCAATACGTCATGCGTCGGGTCAAGGGTCACTCTTCCGTCGAAACTAGACTCGTGCAAGGCCGTTAACGGAAACCAGTTAAAAGTACTAATATTTTTCTTAGAAAATAGCATGTCCTCGCTTCAGAGGGCCTTTATTAACTCGCTAGAGTCGTGTGGATTATTTTTATGATGGATGGATGCACTTTTTTGGGCTTCAAAATCTCAAGTTCTATTCACTCCCATTATAAAGCTTGGAAGAACCAGGACATTTTTGAATTTTACAACTCTGATTGTGTTTGGCTGAAAGAAGAAAGTCATATTCATCTTGGATGGCTTGAGGATGAATTGAGGATGCGTTTTCGTTTAAAAACGGAGACCTTTTGCTACGTTTGCACCTCCCGTCCACACTAAAACGGGAAAAACGAAGACCTAAAACTGAGAAGTTTAGAAACGCTGCAGCTCCGTTTTGCGTTTTGAATCTCCGCAGGGCGTTTTAGTGTAGACGAGACAAAACAGAGGACTTCAGAAACGCTGACGCAGAGGCTGACGCTCGGCTCTATGATTGGGTCTATGTTATCAGTCATAACATGTCCTTCCCTGATTCGTCAACCACTATTTACACGCACATGCCCAGTGTTGGTGAATGGTCACGTGATCTGCGTTTTCAGTCGTTTTAATATGGACGAAGATCATTTCTAATACGCAGATAAAACGGTGGTGTGGACGGAGATCATATTCGTTTTAATTGTCTGTTTTAAACGAAAACGCAGTGGTATGGACGGGGCCTAAATCATTTTCACTTTTGGGTGAACTAACACTTTAAGTCATGAAAGTTTTCAGTTATTTCATTAACTGTATCTGCAAATTACTTTATCTACAGTTTTTCTAATACAAACAAACTTTTAAAGGAGCCATATGCAAGATTGTGGCCAAAACTGGTACTGCAATCACTTTCAAATTACCGTGGAGCGGTGTATTTGATGTTTATGATTATTTGAAATAAATTTCTTGCATACAGCTCCTTTAAGTAGCACATTACACATTCAATACAATTAAGGAATTCTGTTTCACCAGGGGACACTTTCTAAAAATGATTATGTCTAAAATCAGTGTGATTGGGACTAATGTCTCTGTTTGACACAAGGTGGCTTCTCTATGGGTGGTGCCATGGCACTACATCTGGTGTCCCGGTACCAGCCGGATGTTGCTGGCATCTTCGCTCTGTCCAGCTTTCTTAACAAAGACTCGGTTGTATATCAGGTAGTAAATATTCTTCAGAATGCATGTTTCATGTCATGAGGTCAAACACCAGAAATGATCTATATTACCTTATGCGCAGGCAGTGGAAAATGCAACACAGCGCCCCCTACCTGAGCTCCTCCAGTGTCACGGCACAGCGGATGAGCTGGTTTTCCATAGCTGGGGCAAGGAGACAAACTCACTGTTGGAGAAAGCTGGCCTCAACACGTCTTTCCATTCCTTCCCAGACCTCAACCATCAGTTGTGTCGACAAGAACTGGAGTTACTTCGGTCCTGGATCCTTAAGAAACTTTCCCCTTAGAGCATCCTTAATGCTGGACAATGAACTTGCCCACATACAACCTAGAATAATCATCATCCTAATTGTTTTTTTAGGGCCCAAGCCCTGAAAGGGCGAAGGCCCTATTGTTTTCCTTGGGATTATTAGGGCCCAAGCCCTGAAGGGGCGAAGGCCCTATTGTTTTCCTTGGGATTATTTATTATTCTTCTTCTTCTTTTTATTTTTCTGCTACCTTTTGGGCATTTTTGGGGCCCTTAACATGCTCGAAAACTCTTGAAACTTTGCACACGGGTCAGAACCCGCGGCCATCAGAGCCGGGCTGAAGATGGTACCCGGGCGTGGCAGGGCGGCTCGTCAGCGCCCCCTGGAACGGGGTCCGAACACTTGGTCCATAACTCAAACACGCTTGTATGTAATAATATGAAACTCGGTACACATGTTGATCTCATCGTTTCATCTATACCTCGCGCTCTTACTTTTTACCCCAGCTCAACAGGAAGTCGGCTATTGAGGTTTGTTTGTAAAACGCTCGCAATGGAATGTCAAATACTCCTCCTAGAGCTTTGATCCAAATTCGACTAAAACTCAGTCAGCGTGAAGTCAAGACATTGAGGATGAAAGTTTGCGAGGGGATTTTTGATATCTCGAACGGTTTGTCCGTGGCGAGGAAACGAAATCATGGCGAGAAACGTGAAACAGGAAGTGTGTTATAACTTCAGCATACATTAACTGATCTTGATGAAACTTCAGCAGTGTGTTCGCTGTAAGAGGACGATCACATGGATGTGACTATTGTGAGTCAAAGTTATAGCGCCACCAACTGGCAGCAGGAAGTGTGTCACTTTCAAAATGCTTTGATATCACCCTTTTATTTTTACCCGATTTGCTTCAAACTTCATCTGTATAATGTAAACATACGATAGATGTAGACCTGTGAATGGATTCTTGATATCTTTGAAACTGTTGCCGTGGCGACGCATCAAACTTTACCCTTCTTTTAGGATGCTTTTAGGATGCTTTTGAGACCCTTAGCATGCTTCAAAATGCATGAAACTCGACAGACACATCACATTTATTAGCCAGTAGACATGTGCAAAGTTTCAGAAACGGGCGTGGTGAGGGCTCAGTAGCGCCACCTTTTGACAAAAGTGGGGTTGTTAGTTTTAACTAGAGTTACAAAAATTGGTATGTATATTGTACTCCTCGAGCCGGACAACTTTCTAATTTACACTTATTAGCTAGGACCCACAGAAACTCAGATATTTTTGTTTGAATATGGTCACTCTGAGCCTACATGTCTCTGTGTCTTTGGCTGGCTGGCTGGCTGTCTGTGTGTGTGTGAGTGTGCAGGGGGAGGGGGCTTAACCATTTCACTGCTGTGTGTATGACCTGCATAAAGAAAATACATTTCTCAAGCCTGGTATTTTTTAAATAAGTTTTTATTTTTATTTTTTATAAGTAAAGACATATAACTAGTTTAATTGTAGTGCATTGACAATAGTTTTATATAATTAGTTTATTAATCAGATTAACTTGGTCAATAAACTTGGTCTGAAAATTTGGTCCATAAATCAAACACACTTGCATGTAATAATATGAAACTTGGTACACATATAGATCTCATCGTTTCATATATAGCTTACTTCACACTCTTACTTTTTACCCCAGCCCAACAGGAAGACGGCTATTTAGGGTTGTGTTTAAAACACATGCAATGGAATTTAAAGTATTGCTCCTAGAGCACTGAACCAAATTCGACAAAACTCGATCAGCGTGAAGTCAAGACATTAAGAATGAAAAGGTCCCAAGGAATTTTTTATATCTCGAACGGTTTGGCCGTGGCGAGGAAACGAAATTATGGCGAGAAACATGAAACAGGATGTGTGTTATAACTTCAGCATACATTAACTGATCTTGATGAAACTTCAGCAGTGTTTTCGCTGTAAGAGACCGATCACATGGATGTGACTATTGTGAGTCAAAATTATAGCGCCACCAACTGGCAGCAGGAAGTGTGTCACTTTCAAAATGCTTTGAAACCAATCTCTTATTTTTAACCGATTTGCTTCAAACTTCATCTGTATAATGTAAATACACGGCAGATGTAGACCTGTGAATGAATTTTTGATATCTTTGATACTGTTGCCGTGGCAACGAATCGAACTTTAACATTCTTTTTTGATGCTTTTGGGACTCTTAGCATGCTTGAAATTGCTTGAAACTCAACAGATACATCACATTTATTAGCCAGTAGACATGTGCAACTATGGCAAAAGATTAAAGTAATGTCAAAAAAGTAAACACTAAAAGCCTCATATCTTCTAAAAATGTAATTATACATCATTTGTTTCTAAATTAAATTATACAAATATTATAACTTCCCCAATTTTTCCTTTTTTTCATTTAAGAATTATGTTTACGTTCAAAAACAGCCATAATTGTTGTAAAATTCATAAAAAAATAATAATCTGAGTCATACGTAGTGCTATACTGCCCTCTTGTGTTCAATATCAGGTAGGCCTATTGTGTATATTCCCACCGGTTAATCAACGTGTGACTCCGCTGGGACTTGGGAGCTTTTAAATCGCTTACTTAAAATCGAAAGTCGAAATACGGATGTCCGCACAAGACATTAATGGTGTGGAGTAGAGCGAGCATTTTAAATAAATTCCTATTAAGTAGGATTGAACTAAACAGAAAGAATGTTCACTCTGTTCTGCTGGTTCCTCGCTGGTGGATCATATGATTACTTTGTCATAATCTATGACAAAAATGCTATTATAAACCATATTAATAATAGATAATACACATTGCTCTTATTTTTGAAAAATACATTCATGAAAAACAAGATAACAAAAATCATAAAAAAAATATAGCCATGGCTGCTATAAATGTTTGAAATGCATAGGACAGATGTTTAATGACGCAGCAACATATAATTGAAAGGCAATTAATAATCTGTCATTACGTCACTGCATTATGATATTACGGCTCCGATACGGTGCAGCACAAAGCACTTATGTGCATCCCGAGCGGAGAATGATGTGCTTGAAGCCACATGAAGTTACAGCGCAGTGAATCCGTATTGAAAAGTTCAAAGCACAAAGGAAATACATATTTATGAACAGTGTATTATACATTATCTATCTATGCAATAGTTTATTGAGCCTTCTCTTTTAAAGGTTTTAAATTTCAGTTACTGTGTGCGTGAAGAACAATTATAGTGCTCTGACTCTAGTGTTGTGATCTAACCGACAGCGTCCGACACCCGGTAGAAAGTAACACGGTTAAGTTACAGCAATAAAGTCCAGCAAGAAAAAGTTTCTTCATTCGAAAATATAGACATTTAGACCTTTATCTTAAAGATCCAGTATAATAGGATTAACATTCAATCATCTTGAAGATCGTTTCATCATTGACTGTAACCGAATGTGACGTGCTGTTTGAATGCTGAATGGAGAATGACTGACAGGCGCAGAGAGGGAAAAGTTTGTGTTCTTGAATTTAATGACTTAAATATTAATTTCTATATCACATAATAGCTTCAGAACACTAATAATACAGTACACAAAAACTTTATGGTACTTTAGAAAGTTTTTGTGCCTTTGTGCCTAACATAGAATAGTATATATGCACAATATAGAATTTGAATCAGCCTCGTCAAAGATGGCAGTGTCAGAGCCGATACCGATCCTGAGTATCTAATCGGCGCACTTCTTTTCAACAGTCAAATTGAAATTGAAATTGAAATTGCTTGAAACTCAACAGATACATCACATTTATTAGCCAGTAGACATGTGCAAAGTTTCAGAAACGGGCATAGTGCAAGGACTAAATAGCGCCACCTTTTGACAAAAGTGGGGTTGTTAGTTTTATCTACAGTTACAAAAATCGCTATATACATTGTACTCCTCAAGCCGGACAACTTTCTAATACATAGTCATTAGCTCGGACCAAGAGGAAGTCAGATATTTTGGTTTGAATATGGTGAGCCTCTCTCTGAGCCTACGTCCCTGTATGGCAAGCCCTTTTAACATTTAAAAGCTAAGTTTGCCTGTCCGGAATTAACATTGTAGATATCAACAACGTCTTTCTGTCTATTCGTAATTACATTTTGGATAGTTTGTATTATCATTTAAGATATCTGTAACATAATTGTGACTAGTCGAAATGACAGAGTATGGCAAGCCGTTTTAACATTTAATCATAAAAGGGCCAAAGCCTTCGGCACCGCCACCCGGGTGCATTTAGGTAACTAAAGGAACCGGGGTTGCGGTGCCACCGGCTTGGGCCCGCCATCGCTGCTCGCAGCTATATTTATTCTTTATATTATTATTATTTTGCTACCTTTTGGGCACTTTTGGGGCCCTTAACGTGCTCGAAAACTCTTGAAACTTTGCACACGGGTCAGAACCCGCGGCCATCAGAGCCGGGCTGAAGATGGTACCCGGGCGTGGCAGGGCGGCTCGTCAGCGCCCCCTGGAACGGGGTCCGAACACTTGGTCCATAACTCAAACACGCTTGTATGTAATAATATGAAACTCGGTACACATGTTGATCTCATCGTTTCATCTATACCTCGCGCTCTTACTTTTTACCCCAGCCCAACAGGAAGTCGGCTATTGAGGTTTGTTTGTAAAACGCTCGCAATGGAATGTCAAATACTCCTCCTAGAGCTTTGATCCACATTCGACGAAACTCGGTCAGCGTGAAGTCAAGACATTGAGGATGAAAGTTTGCGAGGGGATTTTTTATATCTCGAACGGTTTGTCCGTGGCGAGGAAACGAAATCATGGCGAGAAACGTGAAACAGGAAGTGTGTTATAACTTCAGCATACATTAACTGATCTTGATGAAACTTCAGCAGTGTGTTCGCTGTAAGAGGACGATCACATGGATGTGACTATTGTGAGTCAAAGTTATAGCGCCACCAACTGGCAGCAGGAAGTGTGTCACTTTCAAAATGCTTTGATATCACCCTTTTATTTTTACCCGATTTGCTTCAAACTTCATATGTATAATGTAAACATACGGCAGATGTAGACCTGTGAATGGATTCTTGATATCTTTGAAA